CTTTGATATTAAGTATATTAAAGTTTTAAATAGTGTAGACAAAATAATATGGTCGTTACGCACATGAACATGCGTGCAATGCCTATTTTAAAATATATTTTGTATTTTTCTGAGAAGACCTTGATTAAGTCTACATTCCATAAAGTATTTCTTATTTAATAGAGATCGCGGGGAATATGGCACCAAAGGGGAGTTGGGGAGCGTTTGGGGAACATCTGTAACGGTCCCCGTTACAATTAGCACTAGTTATTATTATTTTTCTTCCTGGGAAAATTTTGTCCGCGAGTGATCTTGTAAATTACGCATCCGACTTAGGTGAAACCTTTTTAGGGTAAGTAGGCATGTTATGTAGATTTGCGGAATCAAGGTCATTTTGCGCGCACGTGCTTGCAAGAGCGCGCACGTGCAAAACTTAAAATGACCAATATATAATGGATATAACCGTAACTTTTCTATTTTGTGACAAAATGTTTTGAAACTTATAATGTAAGGATATATTAGTAGTATGCACAAGATGACATGGTCAAAATAGCAAGATCTCACGCGCATGCACGTGCGCTTCGCTCTGATTGGCTGAAACTAAAGTCTCAATATCTTTCTTGTATTTTGACGAAATCCTTTGAAATTTTGAATATAGCCATGCATTAGGATATCCTACAACATGATATATAGCAATTATCATGAAAACACGTGCATGCACGTGCGCTGCAATCTGATTGGCTAAAACTTTAAATAGCTATAACTCCCTTGGTTTTCAACCAAACAGGATAGGATTTGGAACTTAGATATATATAATGGACGTCTTCAAGAAAGTATGGTCACCATGCACATGCATACACGTGCGTGTACGTGCGCTGCAATCTGATTGGCTGAAACTTTAAATAGCTATAACTCCCTTGGTTTTCAACCAAACAGGATGGGATTTGGAACATAGATATATAAAATGGACTTCTACAAGAAGGTATGGTCACCATGCACACGCATACAGTTGCGTGTACGTGAGCTGCAATCTGATTGGCTGAAACTTTAAACAGTTATAACTCCCTTGGTATTCAACCAAACAGGATGGGATTTGGAACATAGATATATAAAATGGACTTCTACAAGAAGGTATGGTTACCATGCACATGCATACATGTGCGTGTACATGCGCTGCAATCTGATTTGCTGAAACTTTAAACAGTTTTAACTCCCTTGGTTTTCAACCAAACGGGATGGGATTTAGAACATAGATAGATTTAATGAACTTCTACAAGAAGGTATGGTCACCATGCTCATGTATGCACGTGCGTGCACGTGAAATGGGTAAAATGAAAAATACACTTGAATGAACGAATTTTTGAAATACTTTTGGATTAAATACTTTAATATTTAGTATATCAAAATATATAGATTGTTTTGATAAGATGATATGGTCATTACGCACATGCATTCACCTGCGCACATATGCAATGATTATATTTGAATGAGCATGGTACATTTCTGGGTAAACGTTGTTAAAGTCTCAAATGCATAGAGTTAGTGTTATTTAATGAAGCTTACAGGGAATATGGCACCAAAAGGGAGTTGGGGAGCGTTTGGGGAACATCTGTAACGGTCCCCGTTACAATTAGCACTAGTTGAAATATGCATCACAAAAATGAAATAAACTCCATAAAAGCTCAATAGTAAACACACTGTCATTACTCCGTACAGACTAGCACGTCGATACACTAGTCCGTGCTGATCAGATTTTGGTCAGGGAAAATATCACAAGTGGAAAGAGAAGTTATTTGGTATTTTGGTATTTGTGCGGCTGAAAGGGGGGGGGGGGGTTATTATAACTGCTGTTCATAAGGTATAACTGTAAAGTGTCTATCTACGTGTAGCTCTAATATAATGTACATTCTATACAAAGTCATGTATACAGTCTGCAGTTGGTTTGCGTCGTAAAATTCATTTGTCCACATAACTGATTATTTTAGTACTAATCTCAAATCTAAACCAAGAAATTTGATGTACGGTAATTATTTACTTCAAATCTTACAAGCAATTAATCAGAATATAATTTTTTATGTGTACATCTATACGTTCTTTAACACAAACGCGGAGAAACGCCATCCCCTGTTCAGATTGACATTTAAAAATTTGAATTTTTGAGGCGGAGGGGGGGGGGCATGCAAAAATAATTGACATGATCGTTATTTAAATATTCTTGGAAGACAGACATTTCTGCCGAATTCCATTTTGAGATTTTTTTAAAATGTGTCGAGGAACATAACTGTTTTATGATTATGTTTTTACAGGAAGTCTTTCGAGATTTCAGTATCCCTGCCTGACAGTCTAGCTATGTTTTTTTAATAAAAATATAATTTCTTAAGGAGTATTTGCGAGATGATTTTAAAAGCTAGGGTAGGGATACTGGAAACCTGGTTGAATACGGATAATTTTTATTTACTCCTTTGTATATTGAACTCTCTCTCTCTCTCTCTCTCTCTCTCTCTCTCTCTGTATATAACCATCGGCAATAATAGGTATAAAATCCCACGCACTTTATGCTGTATTTATTAAGCCTTAGGACAGATGAGGGATTTTTTTTCAGACGGGATGTCGAAACTTCATAAATTGAATAATAATTTTACTTTGGACAAGAAATTTTCCTAAACGCCCAATATGAAAGAGAAACTAGAAGTATTGTGAGCAATGAGCTCTATAAATGATGCCCCCGCCTCCTATATGGTTATAATGACAAGTACATATTTTGCTGTTGTCGGTAAACCCATAATATGTGTCGGATCAAAAAGTAAAATAGGAGGTACACAATGGTAATTTGTAATAAACTTGTGATTCTGTGAAAGTTTCATTAAATTTCACTCAGTGGTATAAGAGGATTTGCGGATGGGTACCCTAAAGCGTAACAGACATCTACATGTACGGAAGGACGTACAGACGAACGGACACAACGATTACTATATACCCTCGCGATTTTCAAGCGGGGGGTAAAAAAAAAACATTAAAAAAACATCACAGTTTACATCTCAAATACCTTCTCAAACGTGTCGAACCTGGACCTGGACAACAGACAAGAATTTGTAAAAAAGCTAATTGTAGGTAGAAGGTGGAATTCTCACGGGGAGTTTGCTCTCTCTTCCTATATGCTTTGGCTAATAATCATTATATATTTATGTCAAGAATTTTAATTCACTTTTAATTCTATTTTCATTATCATTGTACCACAGAATCAAACTCGTTTATTATACCCCAAGATGCGTGAGGTATAATGTTTTTGACCCGTCCGTCAGTCAGTCAGTCCTGTTTGTTTGTTTGTTTTTTTTTTTGTCAGCGCAACTCCTCATAAACCAATGCACAGAATTTTGTTAAACTTTACAGATATTGATAGGAGACAATGTGTAGATTTGCACATCACCCATCTGTACATCACCAGGAAATTCCGAATTCTTTATTTTTTCGGGAAATTCCGCATTTTTTTCAATTAGATTTTAGCCATATCTTGAATATAGCTCAATGAACAGTTTGTCAGCGCAACTCCTCATAAACCGCTGCATACAATTTCGTCAAACTTTGCAGATATTTAGGACACAATGTGTATAGATGTGCATATAACAAGGAAATTACGATTCCTTTATTTTTTTCTGGGAATATCAGCACCTCGATTTTTTGGGGAGCGTGGGGTATATGAACTTGCTCATTTTTTCTTTCATTGTGCATAAAATTATAGATAATTTTAAATCAAATTATAATAACTTTAAATCAAATTATATTAGGTCTAATAAAGCCAATACACAGTATTTATTTGATAATATTTGATCATAAAGAAATCCGATCTGTTTCAGATGTTTTTCTTAAATTATTTGTATGAGAGTGTTATGCATGTTTTATTAACCCCCCCCCCCCTATCATAGGAAAATATCTCCAAAAGGTGAATGATTCGTTATAATGCATGCTTTATTATAAATTTTATGAAATTAAACCATGTTTTCATAAATTTTATTTACAACATTTACAGACAAGAGTAATGTTTATTGTTTATTTTTGAAAAAAAATATTTGCATTTTTTTCAATCAACCCCATGGAGCTTTCAACCTTTCATATTTTCCCTGACCAAATAAAATGATCGGCATGGGCCACGTGTGTCCAAGCATTTTTAACTGTTGAGTTAGCAATGGATTACATGACCAGATGACTTCTGAGATGCATTTTTCAATAAAAGTAAAATAGGATAATTCTTTCGACATGTGCACATCCCTGTAACGATAGCAGTATTCAGGTAAATGTTTTCATCACTGCGTTTGACGCGTTTTCTCGACCTGCATGGATTTTTGCTGTACATGAATGTATTCCATGTTAGTGTATTTTCTATATTGCAGCAAATGCATTCAAAAATAATTCAATTCTCGGTATAGTTCTAGTTTTTGTTGAATTTTTACTTTTCAAACATGTATTTGGTCAGTTTATGGAATTCTAAAAACTATGCTATCGGAGATGTGTACATGTCGACAGCCAGGCTAGAAAATCACTCAAGTGAAACAATTGTACAAGGCTTTATATAGCAGGTACAAGTGACCAAAACTTTTCAATTAAATATGGCGGAATCGATGAAATATGGCGGACAAAGGCGTACAGGAATGTAGTAAGTCGTACAAAGATGTAAAATGATGCCTTTTTAAGAGTTCATGTCAGCTTTAAGCCAAACAGTAAGACAGAAGTGTTTTTTGGGAACATGTCAGAGCATAACTTAAATGAAATCAACAATTTTTTTTCCGTGTTGGTTACTTATGATAGATATGTACATTCTGCATGTAAATTAGAGTAAATAGAGTAAGAAAATGCCATTTAAATTACATTGAAAATATTGCAATACATACCGCAACACAGTTCAAAATATTGCAATATATCGCAAATTTTTGTCGTAGCTGCAGATCTGTAGCTCACTGGTGATCGATCAACAGATCTGTCTTTGAGAATAACTTCTTCACTTCAATTTATGGTCACTTAATTCTCAGAAATTGTGGATATCTGTCTGCTGGTACCCCTGACGACCCTTTTATCAAAGATACAATAACGTCTTTGAGAACGCATGGGGTTGAACATGACGTCATCAGTCACAATGAACTCCATCGTAAGTATCCAATGATCAACGTTCCTACGGGGGCTATCGGAGTTCTTGACCACAGCGGGGGGATACTGAAGGCGAATAAGGCGCTGTATGCATTCCAGGTGTGTTTGGAGAAAAAAAATCTTTGAAACTGATCAATCCATAATTTTCTTCTTCTTTCTCTCTCTCTTTCTTTCTAAAGTATAACAACGCTTGCGATGTCAACTTACAAATTGTACTTTTTACCAAAGTTGTACATAAATACATTGTACATGTAGATCTGTACAACGTTATAAAATTACATGCACTTTTTTTTATCATAAAATATTTGAAAAGGAAAATGAAAAGTATAATTGTAAGAAAACATTTGATTTCTACTCTGATCAGAAAGAAATGCCAAACTATTTTCATAACCTCTTTGTTAGAAAGGCATAATGTACATGTACTTTGTAAATTTGTACATTAATGTAGATTTTTCAAAAATTTTAAGGATATCTATTTGTTAATCATCCAATGCCCCATTACTTTATTAAAAAAATGTGTAACTTGTTTTCCATTTCGTCCCACAGGAAGTGTTTAAACGTCACGGGGGAACAATAAACGACGGAGAACAGGTATTTCAAATAATTCCTGGAGACATTATAACCGTAAAAACCTCCAAATCGAGGTACCAGGCTCGTCACGTGATAGTTACGGTTGGCCCATGGGCACACAAGTTTTTGTCATCTCTGGGTCTTCGTCTTCCACTGAAGGTAGTTTTTTAAATTTATAAACAAGAAATTCAAAATCATATTCTCGCTCATAAATAAATATTTTTAATATTAATAACTGACTTACTATTAAGAAACTAGAAGATCCTCCACTGGAGCGGAAGACCCTAAAATAGTTATAGGTATTCCTTATGAAATTGGACGATCTTCCGCTGAAACGAAATTAGACCTTAAAATATTGACACTCTTTGTGATGTTTGCTAGGTGATACGGATCTCCGTGCATTACTGGAAAGAGAAATGGAGAGGTCAATATTCAATGCAAAAGTTCCCAACCTTCATGTATGGAAAAGTATACGCTATGCCATGCTTTGAATATCCGGGACACGTCAAGGTATTAGATTTAGGAAATTATCAAAATGCGATTACAGAATTTTTTAAAAATTTGGACCGAATATTATTGTTAGTTTCATTCATCAAATGTGAAGCATTTTCCAAATAAATGCACTTTCAGGCCTGTCTTCACGATGGACCGGAGATAGATCCCGATGACAGGGACGCAGTGAATACAGATGACGTCACTGAGACAGTCCGGAAGTACGTGTCTGAACACCTTCCGGGACTGGAAACGGCTCCCTCGGTGACCGAAACATGCATATATACGGTAAGTAGGGACAAAACTCGACATGAATTACCCATGTAATGAAATTCTATTGAAATGAGAAAAAATACCAATTTTAAAAATATACAAATTTACTGTTGCAAATCTAAATTGATAAATGCAGGACCATTTTCTCCTGCTTCGTGTCTTGGTGCGACAAATTCAACCTCACCAGTGTCACTAGCTGAATGCCAAGATGCTGGTAACTCGTATAGCCCATAGGAAACATTGATTCAAATAAATTTGTCATACCTATGTTCAAACTACGGGTGATTTCATGATTTTATTCCCCCTTCTAAACATATTGATAAAACTGTAATAGAAAACATTTCAATGCAAAATGAAAATAATTTTTACTTAATAATGTTGATAGGCATCTCTAATGCAAATAAGCATACTATCATTAGTACTGTTTTAGGGGTCCACAGAGAACAGAATGGGAGCTAGTAATCATATGTTCCAGCCTTTGAATAAGTAACGTTTTCCCCCCACCGTCACCGGTATTATACTTTATACTTTATATAATATTGTATGATACTTTAGTGAGACAATCAAGATTAGGAAAGGGAAAATTATTTTATATACAAGGGCTGTTCAATAAATAATGTCCTGAACTGTATGACATACAATACAGATAAAATGTATCATATGACATTAAGCTTGACTTTTTCGCATTATTGAATCTTTAATGAATTTATAACAATTTATGTGACCACTTTTCATCACATAGTTTCATTGTGAGAAGCTGGAAAACAAGGGCTATTCGAGACACTGCGTGTAAAATGAATGGTAAAGAATCAGTAAACTAGAGTGAAATCAAACGCTTCATTCAAGCTCCTGTAAAACTCGTTAAGAATCCCAATGAATTATTCACTGAAATATGTAACATTTACGGCAACCAATGTCTGTAACAGTCTGTTTTATAGACAAATGAGCAGGTGGATTTAAATGATAAAAAATTATATAGTGGGCATCAAAATGGGTACCGTCCTTGCCAACAAAAAATATAACAACTCATGTAATGTTTGCAAATTTTCAACAAATAATCACTGATTTTGACTTTAAGACACATAGCTTTGATAGACATCATTTCGGGAGTAGTTCACACTGTTTTAAAGAAACGTTTGACATTAAAAAGCTTAATACTCAAAGGTCATCCTATGTTTTGAAAAATGAGTCAAAAACGACAGCGTGTAAGAATACTAAACAAATTTTTTTAAAAATGAAAACTTGTGGTTATCCAGGTTTGTTTGAAATTCAAACAGATAATGAAACTTGAATCTATTGCTTAAAACCCTCGAAACAAAAATTTACAATAAGATGTACTTGACAAAAGCAGCAAAGGTCTGATAGGAGCAAAGAATTGCAAGAGCACAAAGACAGATTTATATGCAATTTTCTAAAATATTAGTTGTCTTGTTCAAATTCGTATTCGGGGAGGCAGTTTAATTTCTGTAAGAGTCTAGATAGCAAAGTTTTTGCAAAAAAAAAAAAATCGAAAGCATGGAAAGGTTAATGAGAGGAAGGAACCAGAGTCAGGATTCCACTACATTAAATTCTTCATGACAGCGTCCAAACCCGCACGTCACGAACATGACGAAGAGTAAAGGAGTTTTTGGGATAAACAGAAAGTGATTTTTTTCACACAAACAATATTCGCCAGATCTATCGCCTTTTAACTTGTTTCATTTTCCAAACTTGAAAAAAATATCTTTCAGAACGAAGAAACTAGTCCAGGAAATCATAAGATCTGCCATTTTCCAGTATACTAATGATCATACCCAAAAATGAGTTCTAAAAACAATCAGAAGTTGGATAAATATTTTTATCGACATGTTTTTTAATTGAAACAAAAATATTAAGTTAAATTATTAAGACTGTTATTGAAAAGCGTCTTTTGCTTCTTTCTGAGCACCGAGGATATTATTTATTGAACAGCCCTCGTACATAATTTCTCTACCTTTTCTGTTTTCAATCACTCTACTTTATAGATGACTCCAGACAGGCAGTTTATATTAGACAACCATCCCAAGTGGAAAAACATAATCATAGGAGCTGGATTTTCTGGTAATATACAGTATCTCTCTATACTGTTTCAAGACTTCGAGTGTGTTAAGTTATGTATACAAAGTTATTTATAATAATTAATGATTGAAATATTGTAATTATAATAGCATGATATATATTTTTTTAAATATTGTATTTAAAAAATTAGCATTAGAATTACTTGTACCTTTACTGCAACTTCTTTCGTCAAGAGAATGTAAATGTAAAATAAAATAGGAATGAAAGATATGCAAGTAATTGCAAGTAATTCACATAACAATTTCTTAAAAAACTGGAAAATTGTTTAAATTCATGTTTCAACCATGTCTTTTAAAACAGGTCATGGATTTAAGCTGGCCCCCGTTATTGGTAAAGTACTGACGGAACTTGTCCTCAACAAGAAACCCTCCTACGATTTGTCACGATGTCGGATCCAAAGATTTCTTCCTCCCAAACACCAGTTATAGGACGAGAGCTAAAAATCTACCTGCTGCCCAATATTATTAACTTTAATGAATAAAATTATGCATATCAAAAATCAACATGTATACGCACAGGTCACATGCTATCCACAGTTATTGTGTTGATTTGATGACGCGATCGTTAGTATAGAATTTTACATTAATAAAAAACATAAATTTATCGGATTGAATGAAGATGCCAAGTTTTTGATTACTACATGTAGCTCTTAATCTTCTTTGAAATTCAATTACATATATGTAATTAACACCCCCCCCCCCCCATAATTTTGCCGATATATAATAATCTTTATTGCATAATACACCCATATGGGTCAAGCAATATAAACATAAAAAAAACAAAACAAAAAGAGAACAATGAATTATATATACAATATCCATATAGAAATTCATTCCCTAAATGTTACATCGATGTGGACCTTTTCTTTCTCAATTCTAATGATTGTTTATGTAGTATACTGTAGAAAACATAGCTACTACATGCTAGAGCCCCTTCAATAAAAACGTCTGATGGCCTTTGTTTCTTTTTTGCTTGTAGAGGAATATTTGGTAGATGATAGTGCCTCCAACTGAAAATATATGGCTGTGCCCCCCCCCCCCCCCCAAAAAAAAAATTGCTTCCCACGGACCTGTATGGGGCGTCATAAGTGCGATTAATAATTGAGTGTAAATATGAGCTCTAAGACTACATGTAACAGATAAAGCTAGAAAAAAACGAGGGGGGGGGGGCTTTGAGAGTTAGAACTGTTGTCATTTAACTTTATTATTTGGTTCATATTCTGCTCCGTGCCAGTGAGATTTTCATAGTGCAAAATGGGTACTTGTATAGCATATCCGACGTTTGTTGCATTTGTTCCTCAAATTCACACAACATCAAGAATGAAATGTTTGCTGAAACATATATTTTTATGGAGCATATTATGTCAAAGACCTTAAATTTGCAATTGCTTTGGTACAAAGGAACTGACATCAATTTAAAGTAGAAAAAATATTAAGGAACTCAGTTCTTCGAGCTTGGTGAATGCTCTTCAGGTGAACAAATTATCATACTGACCTCAAAAACAATATCGTTTGATACATGTATGAAGAGAGTATTTATAGGGATTTCACGTATGTTGCCCAATCTATTACAACCGTATTACAAATTTTGTGGATAATCGGTAGATAATATTCTAAAATAAATTATCATACAGTCAAGTTTGTAGATACTAGTATAAGGATCCACCAAGAAAGCAATATAAGAACAAGTCATAAATTATTTTTTTAGATAAAGCACTGGAATATAAAAACAACTCACATACTAATGCAATAACATGAATAAGTCTTATAAAAATTTCAGTGGATTAAGCATTGCATAGAAAATTTCGATCCATATGAATAATAGGACAAATTATATACACCTGACTACCGGTATTAGTTATTGAGCAATATAATTTTTATAAAAAATAAACATATGCCATATTTCAAATCCACAAAATAGTCTAGTGTTATTACGAGCCCTCCAGAAAGTCAAATTTTATATCCACTGGCTCTTTAGACCTTTCATCAATGCCCTCAACAGTAACTTTAGTTCCCCCAAAGTGGAATTTGGCCCTGACCTTCCTACTGGTTCCTCCCCTAGTGTCAAGCATAGGAACAGTCAAGGAACCGATTTCCGTACACCCCTCGTCATCGATATATTTGGGATCCCTATGGGTACACGTGAAGACTCTGAAGTCGACAGCAGTTTGGTCTTCATAAATTGGGTTGTACGTTTTGTCTGTGCTCTGACCAAAATGGATTGTATCTCCCTTTTCTACGTGAATATCGAACTTGTCTTTGCAATAAACTTTTCCGTTCATGATCTTTCTCCTTGATTCAGGATGTGTGCCTTCAATGAAGGTTGTGTTGGTTTTAACTCCGTAAGTATACTTGACCACTCTGGCGGCAATCATTTTGGGATCGTGACCAAATATAACGGCCCCTTTCAGAACCGCCAAACCACAGTCTGGGGGAATCACCACTTTACAAGATGGGAATGATTCTCGTATCCTCCTCTGTAGAAGGTCGCACTCAGAAAACCCCCCAACCATAAGAATTACGTCGGTTCCTTGCGCGGTTTCCGATAACAACATTTCCTCAACTTTAAGGACAATCTTGTTGATAACGTGATTAAAGAATCCTTCATATTTCGTTCGTTCAATAAAAATTTTATCCCTTTTCCATGTTACGTTATCGCCCAAACCTTTATCCCTTGTTAAAGTTTCAATATCTTCATCCGATATATTCAGTAGAGACTGTGGAACTTGCATGCGCACTTTTTTACCCGTAGATTTTTCTCTCTTTTTACTTTCAAAAAATCGGAATAAATCTATGTAATCTCCAGTAAATTTCATACGGAAAGCCTCAAAGATCGGTTTAGAAACAATCTCCTCCAGCATTTCTTTGAACTGGGCGTCTACATAAATCCCGCCCCAGTCACCACCCTGAGCGCGGTCAATTTCTTTGAGTTTTCCATCGTCTGTTACTTCCTGTATCGCCATATCTATAGTACCACCTGAAATATGTTATCAAAAATTCAAATGGACTAGATCTTCAAAAATTCTCTATGTTAATTAAAATTTCATCTAAGGTATAAAGTCATTAAATGAAAACTTCCAGGTATCAGATAAAAGCATTGGTACATCTATACCTCCACCGTCCAAGACAATGAACCTTCTGCCAGGCTGCATCGCACTGAGACAATCTCCGCCTTTTTCTATAGGTAAACATTTACAATACATGGCTGCAGCCTCGGGTTCCAAGCAGATCATCAGGGAAGATTTTGAAATACCAGCCTAACAAAGAACGTATAACATATAGCCGATTTTTTTCTAAAGTACGAATAGAAGACATTTCGAAACAAAATGGCGGATAAATACCTTTTCAGCTGCTTCTTCCATGAACTGTTTTGCAGGTTCATCCCAGATAGCAGGCACGGTTAAGACCCAGGTTATTTCTTTATCCAAGGGCAAAAGGGCCTTCTCCAAATTCTGTTTTTCAAAATTCTTCAAAAAGTGGTCTTTCAGATACCGTATGGAGTGGGTAAAAACTTCTATGGCCAACATCTCTTTGTCTGTCATATCCTTGAGTTTGGTATTTCTGGTAATTTTCTAATTAATAAAAATAATAAGAATTGTACAATGATATTTTCATTACAATGTAAGATTATATTAATGGCAAATTGGAGACTCTAAAATTACCAGATTTCCATCTTTGTCATACAGCATCATTTTAAATCGACGAAAGTAAAAATATTTTCTTTTCTCTTCTTCTGGTAATCTGCTATACGTGTTTTCAGCTTCGTATCCAAAGCTGTCAAAGTTTTGGTCTTCGTCGAGCAGTAGAGTGGTGGGGGTTTTCTCTGACAGTAGTTCCCCAGCATTCCAAGGAACAGTATATATTTCATTGATGTTCTTCTCGTTGTTTTTCAAGAAGTTTCCACGCATGGAAAAGGCATAGCCAGAGTAGGTTGTTCCAAAGTCAATGGCCACAACATATGGTGTACCTCCAGAGGCTGACATCTGTGCAGCAAACAGATCAAGACTGAACAAGAGCTTACTATGGAATCATATGGAATTCGGATAGAGCCATGTAGTTTTATATCGCGCACCATAAAGAGGTTTTATCAATACGTTGATGCGATGACGATCATGAAGCAATGGTGCGATGACAGTAATGCCATGGAACAACAATGCAATTACGATGGTGTGATAATGAACATCGCCATCACGCTTTCGCTTCTTCTTGCTGCGTGTGGCATCATCGTCATCGTGCTATCAAACCGTCGCGTCATCGTTCTTGCGCCATTGTTTCATTATCGCAGCGCGCGCCATTGGCCCTTTAGTCGATTATCGTCTGATGCTTGATGGTGCGATAGTGAACTACGTGGACCTAGCTGAATTCCATGATTCTCTAAACAGAGAAAACTTTATGTAATTTTCAAATCTTTAATCTTTCTTTTTCCCGTACTTTAAGGCTTTTTCAGAATTATGTAGAAAATAGGGCATTTTCATGGCATTCAATTTGAAATCATATACTTAAGTAAAAAGTAATCCCGATACCTATATTAAATTTGATATCATTATTATTAAAGAAGAGGCCATGAACATACAAATTACCGTTTAGAGACTGTAGTAAATCTGGATACATTCCCTTTGTCGAATATGAATAAAACTCCTATATTTATGACTGGTTTTTCCAAATTTTTCCATTGAAAATGAGGTTAAAATATGCATTTCGTCTTATTTAACTACAAATTATGCCCCAAAACACCTTCTCTGACCAATCTAAAGTTGATAGCATAGTTATATAAGGAATTTATTTCTCAATTTTGAAAAATTACCATAACATACATAAGTGTATGTCCAGAACTGATGGACAATTCCAAGCTCGTAACATGTAGTCAACAATCGTGCACATGGGAATCGTGGTTTGGTAAAGCATAAATAAAATTGTGAATAGAGGTTGGAACTCGAACCCCAAGAAATAGAATTTCCTTAGGGTATTTTTCCTTTTTTGTCATTTTTTTTTCGATCGAGTGAGTTTTCAATTCTTTTTACCCCCCCCCCCCCCCCCCTTAACCGATACTATGACACGTGCCTGATTTCAACAAAGATGTCCATCTGCATTTTATACATCTTCACATAGGCGTCGGGACATGGGGTAGGAGGGTGGGGGGGGGGGGGTTAAGCCCAGTTTTTGGGGACAAAGATATTAGAATAATAGAATATTTATTCAACCACTTTGGGCCCACAGTGGAGCATACAGAATGTCCAAAATCATCAGTTATACATATACGAAACAAAACAAACATTGTATAATGAACAGAGAGTTAGCTATCTTCTTTTAGGATGTATAAAATGTACATTATAAGTGGCCTATGTATAATATCTGCAATATGCCTATATTGAACTATGTTGTTTTCTCTTATTAACTGAAGTTTGCATTTAAAAGTTGGCATAATAAAACAACAAACTCAGAATCTTCATAACCATGTAAATAGGTCAACATTGCTAAGAAGTATCAAATTAGGAAAGGTTTTAAAATTTTATCTAAAAACTCTCTTCTTGAGTCATTATAAAGTGGACATTCTAGCAAAAAATGCAACTCATCCTCAGTTGGACTTGAGGTGCAGTAACGACAGATTCTCTCACACCTGGGAAGAATTTACATAATATAGGTGTTGAACATTGGGATGTAGGTTTAGTCCCCCCCCCCCCCCCTAATCCTCAGACACGTTACAGTTGCAGTGTTTAGTAAAAGAAGTGGTAGTTTTTGAAAGAATGTCGAACCCACCCACACACACACAAACACATACGTTCAATTTGATTCCGACGCCATTGTTTCAGTGGTACGTATATTTTTTACAGTTATGATTCACCTTGCTTAGTTACATGTAACATGCTTAACGTTAAATCAAAATCTCACCTTGCTCATCACAAATGTTTTGAGATGATATGATATCGAAACCGAAAGTTGAATTAGGACGCTTTGAAGCTGTCGCTAAACAATATGTTAAATGACAGATATTATCGAATGAATTCTTTAGTTAAACGAAATAATAATTATCTTTGAAAAATATATCATTTTCTTCAACAAACCTTGGATTTTCTTTATGCTTCATGCAAAGTACAGATATTTTTAGAATCGGTGTTTTCCTAAATTTTGGGTAGACAGGTACGAAAGGGGTCTATTTTCGCTCCAAGATTTCTTTGAAAAACATTAAGTTTTAACATTTTTTTAAATATTACTAAGTGAATTTTATAATATTATTCAGCTAAACTGAAATACTTATTTTTTATTCATTGTAACTCACGTGACGATTCTTATTCACGTGATTTCTTTTAATAGAAATTTGTGAAATCAAAACGAAAGTAGAAAAATTGAACTTTTCAGAGAATGTTGTGCCTCCGGGTTTTCCTGGTAGATTTTCATATAAATGGGTTATCATCACAATGAGTGGGGGATACATTATGAACCAGCTCCGGGAGGAGCTGAGCTCCCGCTGTGTGATTGTGGGGGGCTTCCCTCCCCCTCCTTCAACGGTACCCCAGAATGTTTATAGGTTATTTCAGTGTCAACGGGCCGAGCCAGCAAGCGACGGAACAGCATGGCTTGTCTTATTTCAGAATGCAGAACGTAAGTTATCAAAGTGTACTGACTAAAGGCAATTCCCGAGCAGTATTTTGAATACCTAGATACATACATATGTCATATATGCATGGGACGGCCATTTGATTCGGGGGGAGGGGGGTTAGCAGATTTTGGAAATAAATAATCTGTCCCTGAGTCCCCTAAACCCCACCCTATGAATTAGAGTTGTCGACTTCGATTGATTTTTTCTTTCTTTTTACTTTATTTTTTGCTTGTAAAGTTGTTAGACTTTTTCAGTGAAGAAGAAAATAAATAATCTGTCCTTGATCTTACTGGAAATTTATAATCTGTCCTTCACCGACATGAAAATAAATAATCTGACTCAAAAAACATTTGCGCCCCCCCCCACCTAAAAATCAAATGGTCAACCCCTTATGTTGGATTGTCTCATGTAGTATGTAATTAAATTACAGAAGCAAAATGGTGGGTAACAAATCGCAGCACTTTTCAAGTCGGAAACCTGATTTTACACGTAGCTCCTTCCTCTGGATCTAACATTCCTGATGCTTGGCTTCAGGTAGGAGAATCTATTTACATTCGATGTGCACTTGACTCAATTAGTATCATATTGTCATTGGATTTGGATCCTTTGTCTGAACTATACTCCTTTAAGTTTGTTTACATAAGTTTGTTGTTTTCAAGAGGCCCTCGAGAGGAAAATTGGGTATATGTATCTTCTCTTACCTTCGTTATGACAATCCCTCTTGGGAGCCCTACCTTGACCATACTGATTTTTTGTTTCGTCCCAGTTCAGCTGGAAACTCAAAAATTAAAGACATAATAAAAATTATTCAGAGCCTTGGTCATCTTTTTGAGAGTTATCACCCATGGCAACACAAAAATCTTAGTGATACTTATAGTGATCATTTATGAAATTACTGAGATTAAATTTTAATCTTTGATTAAAAGTACCATGAAATGCTTTTAATGGTCACAAACTTACAATTGACTGGGCTCAGACTAAGTGCTCATGACATGCAAGACCGAGGTGTCACTTCATGTCATGCACATTGCACTCATAGACCTCGAAAGCAAATGGAAGGGGGGGGGGCTAAATTAACAAAAATATGTTTGGGACTTCTGTGCAAGTGCCGATATGTCAATTTTGACTGCATCCATGACTCTATATGATATGCATCATGTGAGTTTGCCAACAGAGCTGTTATAGTGCTGTTTGAGTCCGTATCGCACTGCTACAGTGACCTAAGAAGTTCCTACTGCCCTGGTACACATTAACTGTACATCGTGATTTCCTTTGGCCGCATGCAAATTAATAGACAAGGTCTTTTTTGCATATAAAAAAAATTGTTCAAAGATATAAGGTTTTGCAAAATGTTTTTTCTCATGCTCTTATTCTATTCGAATTTTGAAAGCCCAGTCATTACCCGGTACTTTTGTAAATCTGACTCTGACACAGGCAAAATAAGAGAAAAGAGAAACATTTGATATTTTAGATATGCCCTCATAGTTTCAAGTGTTTTTCGTTTTTAAATGTGTACGTGTACATATACAACTGTAATTGACTATATCCGATATCTGTTCCAGACACTCTATTGTTTACATACAGGTATATAATCATATTATATGTGGATTTATAGATAGGGTTTAAACTTCCTCATTTCAAATTGAAAGAGATTAAAAAATGCAGCTGATAATTCTGTTTGTCAAGTATAAGTAAACAAAATGTCAAAACTGAAGATACAAGCAAGATAGGAAGACTGAGCCATTTTGGATATTAAGATTTAATTTAATTGTGACCAAAGTGGATTTTTATTTTTCTAATGGAAATAATTTAAGGGCTCACTGACACCTTCATCATGTGACATCATACTAATTCTAAACAAAAAAAAAAATTAATACTGTTTCAGTTACTTTAATTATCCTCAACCATCTAAGTGTCATACTTAATATTGATTAGAGGAAATAAAGTTTCTTAACAGTGGGTCCTGAATTTGAGTCTCACTCTGGATTTACTTTTAGTATACCACCTGAAGAATTTTCTGAATTCATTTTTAGCCAGATATAACTGTGACCGTGTCATATTGAAGAAAACACAGTTATAGGGTTGCATGGATTCTTTATTGCCATGGATCTCGTTCCACATATAAACAGTCAATAAAGTGAAAATATCGGCCCTATAAGAAATAAAATACAATAAGTAAATCAAAGTACTGGAAAGCGCTAAGCATGGGTTGAATTTGAAATTCATCAGAATTTAAATTCCTTATTGCATTGGAATAAGCACATGTAAAAATTTCACGGGTCAGCGGTAAAGGGGGGGGGGGGGGGCGGCGGCGGCGAACTCAGTTGTTTAATTGAAATAAACTCAGCTCTTGATTGAACTTTTAAATTTTGTATTGAATATGGTACAGTAGAATAACAAAACAATATTTTTTTTCAATATTTCACATTTATTTTGATACAAATCCCTCATCGTGCAGCATGTTGCTATCAACATGTAACAAAAA